TTTAAAGGCGCATATCTCTAAAACTAAGCTAGCTATGAAAAATTGGTCAACTGCAAAAATAAAGACTTAGAAATTTTATACATTTTTGTAATTGCCAAATTTTGTCTAGCTTTTTTAGTTTACGAGATATGCGTCTTTAAAGTTTTCGCGCGCGACTTAGGGAAGCTAGATCACTTTAAAGGCGCATATCTCCAAAACTAAGCTAGCTATCAAAAAATTGTCAAATGCAACAATGAAGAGTTGGAAATTTTGTACATTTTCCAATTTCCGAAATTTTTCTAGCTTTATTAGTTTTCGAGATATGACAATTTAGAGTCGTATCCTAGACAGCCACCTCCTCCAGCTTTTTTCCACCATTAACTTTTTTGACACCCCATCCTAAATCCGTTGATCCGTATATGCTTGTTTTGCTGTCGCCTTGTGAACCGGTCACTCTTTGAAAAAAAAACTTTCTCTAAAAGTAACCGGTAGGTGTTGTTTATTGTGTTGTGTCCCGTACATCCTCCTCTCTATGGCTAACATTAGCCTTGAGTGGTGGATTTCACTTTTTGGTCAATTCTTTTTTGTGGTCAATGGGAGGGGAGGTAGTTTATTACATTCATATACATTCAAAGGGGACAAGGGACACTTAAATAGATAAATAAATGATAAAAAATGGATGAGGAGGGGGACCCGATATGGGGGTACAGAGGAAGATCAAAATAGGTTCCATATGAAGAAGGTTATATTGGATTTTTATGACAAAAACGTGGCGAAATCCGGATGGCGTGCCACAATCATATCACTGACTTTGTTCACTTGTTCCAGGGTTGATAAGATCTGATTGTCCCATACACGCATTGGATTGGCGTCTTCGAAGTGGAGCACTCCGTTCGTTTGGTCAATGTAGCCGTGGAGACGTTCGGAGGCTATCATCTCACCAGACATCGCTTCGGCCTGGAATTAGAAGCTTAAATAGATTGAAAATGATCTTACAATGTTCAAAAATATGCTTTTTAAGCTAAAATACGCTGATTTGGCTTGCGATTAGATTAGATTAGGATGGCCTAGAAATTAGCTACATGGGTTCCTGGGTTCAATGGCTAGGAAATGGCCTAGAAATCTACAATGATGGCCTAAAAACCCAAAAATCTTACCGATTCTTCATCTACACCCAACAGCATTCCGAGTGTTTTGAACTTGATATTAGTATGCAACTGGCTAACAGCGGTGATGTTGTGCTCCTGAATCACACCCTTCAGGATCGATTCTCCATGCTCGTCGACCTTCTGATGTGGCTGGAGTTGTGACTCAAATTCCTCCAACTCATCCTTGTGAATAACTTTCGTCAGGTACATCTTTGCGATGATCTCGAATGATGGACAGTTCGGAGCACGTTCATCCTTGAAGATAATCGTCAGAAGTCGTGATCTTTGTGGTCCCGGTTTCGCAAGAAGCACACAAACGATAGCTTTTCCCAACGCGGTCATTCTATCCGACATTGGAAGCTGTTCAGTGACCGATAACTCATAATATCGTTGTGCGGACTCGACGAATCTTCTCTTCGCATCACAGACTCTCGCTTGAAGTGCTTTATGCTCAATCACAATTTCCGGATTTGGAGCCACTTCAACCATCAAAATACTCGTTCTGTTCACATATTGCTCAGCTTCGTCGATCTCTCCGCAGTCTAGAAGTAGCTTCGTGATTCTGATGCAGAGGGCCGCTTTGGCTCCTTCTTTCGTGGCTTGTGGTCCATTGAATTTCGGGCTTGTGTCCGAGTTGATAGCGATTAGGGCTTGAGCGGCGTCTTTGATTCGTCCTTCTTTTTCGTAGAGACTCGCAAGCATCAGACGAAGAATGCATACCTGGAAATGAGTTTGTTTTAGCGGTTTCAGAGGCCAAAAACTTTAGCAGACCACTTTTCTCTGCGTCTCGCTTCTCAAGTTGCACGCCAGAAGCACTAGCAGACTTATTTTTTCGCGTCTCGTGGATCTGTTAGTGTTTCTGGCATTCGAAATCATTAGCAGACCACTTTTCTCTGCGTCTCGTTGGCCTGCTAATGTTTTCGCACGTGGCAAAAACATTAGCAGACCAATGTCTCGTCGGCGAAACATTAGCAGATCAACGAGACGAAGAGAAAAAAGTGGTATGCTAATGTTTTCGCACGTGGCAGAAACACTAGCAGACCACTTTTTCCCTGCGTCTCGTTGGTCTGCTAATTATTTCGCAAGCCAAGAACATTAGCAGACCAACTTTTTCCCTGCGTCTCGTGGGTCTGCTAATGTTTTTGACACGTGGAAATAGCTAGCAGACCCACATAATTCAGATTTTATTCGAGTTTTTGAGTTCTTCCATTAGAAAACTGTAATTTTCGACTATTTTCTCGATTTTTGCTTATTTTCCGCTTACCTGATCCTCATAAGAGATCGTTCTTGTCTTGATAATCGATAAAATTCCCTCTGAAATCAATTTAATGCATTCTGGCTCCAAATTCGGGTTATCCAAACGATCAGTGATCAACGAGACGAATTGACGAGACACGACCATACTCCCGGTCTCCAGGGCGATTACTGAAGATTCAATTTTCAGCTATTTTCATTTTTTCTGTAAAACCTGTATCAATAATCTTAATAATTTCATTCGTGTCCACTTGTCCATTCGCGTTCACTGGCAAATACTTATTGCAGAGCTTAGCCAACGCTTCGTACTGTGCTTTGTGGTCCGTATCGAGGGCGAAAATGTCGGAAACTTCGACAGAACGCTCGATTTCTGATGACATTCTGAAGCGGACCGTGAATCCAGAGAAAAATATATAAGAAATCAATGAGATAAGAACCTAGAAATGTTACTAGTTTGTGCTTGAAGGACGGAATAATTGTCAAGCTTTCATGGAGACATGAAAAACTGAAAAACAACATGAAGCAATAAAAATTGGAAAATTAAGGAAAAAAAAATTAAAAAATCAAAAACAATCAAGATCATAAAATTGATTTTTAAAGGGGGCGGTTCTTAAGAAAAGGGGGTGTAACTGGGATAAGGAGAATCATAAGCACACAGCACACAGGGGGAATATATAAAGCGGGGAAAATTCAAAGAAAATAACGATTTAGGCCATTCCATCGTCATCCTCATCTTGTTGCTTGGGTCCTCTTGGCTTTGGTCCTCCTGTCGCTTGCTTAGCCATAATAATTTGATCAACCTTGAGAATTGTGGCGGCGGCGTCGGTGGCCAGCTTGATGGCTAGTCGTTTTCCAGCGTAAAGATCGAAGATGTTGTGTGCGACGGCGTCCATGACTTCTGGAATTTAGATAAATATTTAGTTTATAGAGAATCTTTAGAAAGCCTTACCTCTCTTCCAAACATCAATTCCAGCATTTTTCTTTCCATTAACATGCTCGGCATACAGCTTGGTCAAAGTTTCCGTTGTTGGCATACCGGCGTTCTCAGCGATAGCCTTTGGAAGAGTCTCCAAAGCATGAGCGAATTTCTTGATGGCATATTGCTCAAGTCCTGGTGCCTTGGCTCCATATGACTCAATTTCCTTTGCCAATTCGATTTCAACGGCTCCAGCTCCAGCAAGAAGCTTTCCGTCCTTGGTAAGTGCCTTGTAGGTGTTCACTGCATCGTCGACAGCTCTCTCAACATCATCAATTCTAGATTGAGAGGATCCACGGATAATGATAGTGGCAACCTTTCCGGTCTCCGAGTTTTTATCGAACACAACAACATTTTCGTCTCCAATCTCTGTAACAGACACTGAATCGCAATGTCCAAGGAGGTTAACAGCTGGAGCACAGATTCTAGCCTGTGGTTGAGCGCCAACAGTTCTGCACAAGCGACGAAGATCGAACTTTGAAGTCAAGCGAACTGCCATAATCTTGTATTTGTTGAGGAAATGGAGGTAGAGATCTCCGAACTTTCCAGCAGCAACAACAACCTTCACTCCGTTATCAGCGATAGCCTTGACTTGCTCCTCAACCTCAGACTCTTCTCCCTTCGAGAAGTTAACCAGCTCATCGGCGTTCTCAATAAGAACAGTTCCCTTAGTCTCAGTCTGTGTCAAGTCGAATGGGCAAGTGTACACAGCGATTCTGGCGTCTTGAGCAGAACGAATCTCTCCTTCGGCTCCTCTCTTAAAGACCATTCCATTCATCACTTTCGAGGTGTGAACTCCAGATCCGATGATTTTGCAGATACGGATGTTGTCGACGTTGAAGTTGTAGCTGTTGGCAGGGCAAGTGGTGACACAAGCCTTGGCGACGAGGTCAGCAATAACATCTTCGTTATCGTATTGCTTGGAGGTGATGGCAGAGCGGAGGTATTGACGGACTTCTTCGATATTCTTCATGTCAGAGGCTTCTTTGACAACGAGAGATGGAAGAATCTCAAGGGCTTTCTCGGCAGCTTGCTCGTAACCAGCGGCAACTTCTTGTGGTGTCATTCCCTAGAAGATTTATAATTAAAAACTATTACTTCAAAAAATTATCTTACCATGTTGATAAGATTGGAAGCATGTTCCAAGAGAGCGGCAGCCAATATCACAACAGTATTCGTATTGTCTCCAATTTGCTTCTCCTGCATTTCAGTAGCCATAATGATGATTTTGGCGGCTGGATGCTGAATCTCAAGCTCCTTGAGAATGGTGGCAGCGTCGTTGGTGACGAAAAGCTTCTCAATATGGTTAATCACCATTTTGTTCATTCCTGAAGCACATTTAGCATTTTTGATGTCTCAAAATGATAAAAAAGACAAACCGTTTGGTCCGTAAGCCGAGCGAATCTGAGAAGCAAGCTCTGTGCACGCCTCAATATTTCTTTGAACGGCCTCGTCGGTTCCCTTGAAGTGTTGAGCTCCTTCCTTCATGAACCGGTTGTAACCGGACTTTGGAATCTTCATAGCCATGATTTACCTGGAAATTTTGAGATTTTACATTTTTTCAAAATTTGCCAGAAAGCGAAATTAGACGGGTATATACTTGTTTTTCACTGCGAAAACGATAAAACTATCAAAATTTGAAGAAAAAATCCATAAAAACCGAAAAAATAACAGAAATTATCGAAGGAACTCGAACCAAGCCTGAATATTTGAAATCGGAAAATTCGCGATCCTCGAAGAATTTTTGGCGGGTCTCGTAGCGATTTGCCGGGGAATGTGTAGGGAAGTACGATCGATTTTAGAGAGTGCGCGCACTTTGCGCGTCGGGTCTGATGCACTTGCGGACTTTTAAATGAAGCCAACTATTTGAGAAATAAGAGAGTTTTTTATAAAAGAAAAATGAGCCAAAGTAGGTGATTTTGAGTAGAAAATTGTTCTCTATCGTCTTCAGAATGTGTAGAAAGCTTCAGAGTTGGGCGAGCTTTTCTTGAAATCCGCTTTTTTCACTCTCAAAGTTCAGCTTCAAAAAATTAAAAAGTTAGCAAAATTAGGTGATTCTGAGTGGGGAATTCATGTTTATCGTCTTTCGAATGTGTTGCGCAAATTCATCTTCTTGAAAAACCTTTTTTTCTCTCTCAAAGTCAGCTTCAAAAATCAAAAAAAAAATTCCAGAAGATGCCGGTGGTTGTGGTCAACGGAGACTCGGATTTCGATAGAAAGTTTTCAGCGGCAAATGGGAAGGCTGTGTTTGTGGACTTCACTGCTTCCTGGTAATTTTTTTTCAATTTTAAAGAATTCCTAATACTCTACTTTGCTAGGTGCGGCCCTTGCAAGTATATTGCTCCAATCTTCGCTGATCTAGCCAACCAATACAAAGGCTCTGTGTTTTTGAAAGTCGATGTAGATGAATGCCGTGGAACCGCTGCCACATATGGAGTCAACGCTATGCCAACCTTTATTGCATTCGTCAATGGACAGAAGAAGGAAACACTTCAAGGCGCCGATGAGAGTGGACTGAGAAGCATGTGTTCCAAATACGGTTCTACAAGTTCTGCCTGGTCAGGATCCGGTCAGCGTCTCTCTTCCACCGCTGGCTCTTCTACTGGAGCCACCACAGGATCTACTGCTCCACCACAAAGAGCTGCTGCTCCAGCTGGACCAACTCCTCTTGAGCCAATTCTTCAATTTGCCGATGTCATCAACCAACGTCTCAATGGATTGGGAATCCCTAACTTGGACGCTGGTGGCTTCCAAATTCAACCATTCCATATGGCTCTTGGCCTTATTTTGCTGTTCTTCTTCGGACCGTTCGGTGCTCTGATCGCTTTGGCCATTTGCTTCTTCACTCAACAACGAGGTGGAGCTCCAGGACAACCACGTGGCGCTGCTCCAGGAGGAGCAGGAGGAGGAGGAGGAGGTGCCAACCGTCAGCAACCACCACCAAGAGCAGTATTCGGAGGATCTGGACAACGACTAGGAGGCAACTAAAAGAAAATATTCTTGCCCAGAAAGTGGCGATCTTATTTTGATAGTGAAATTTGTATTATTTTCCATAGATTCGAAATCTTATCGCCACTTTAGTTTGTCCATTACTGTGATGAGTGTGTTGCTCTCTCTTGTATTTAAAATTAAATTGCCAATTTCCTTGTTTCATGTATTATGTATTGCATTCTTGCATCCTGTAAAAATTAATTTTTAAAATTGTCCAAAAACTCTTCAAAGAAGAAAAAGGAAACATCCAGTGCTATCTATTTTCATCTTCGAATTTCCCCCTTAAAAAATAAACTTGAGCAGATGCTCAGCAGGATATGCGCTCCACACAGGGCTTCTGTCGCCTCCACGTCCTTCCTGGTTTCCGGGACGGTCAAAAAAACCACCAACACCGCCAAATGAGTGCTCTCCCACCAGCGATCGCTCCAGCGTTCCAATACGCTTCTGATTGTTATATCACTCAGTCGATTCAAATGGGTATGGAGGGATTGCACGAGCTGGGACTCAGTTGGCCAGTTGCGTTTGTCTCAGCTGCAGTGCTTCTGAGGGTGGGCACGGCGCCGTTACATGTGTACGCAGAGAAGCTGTTCGCAGAACGACTACATGCACAGAATTTTTTGACTCGAGGCATTTTGAAGGTTGGTTTTTCGAAATTTTGAGATTTTCTATTCATTTTGGGCTCCAGAAACACTAGCAGACCACTTTTCTCTGCGTCCACGTGTCAAAAAACATTAGCAGACCCACGAGACGCAGAGAAAAATGGGTCTGTTAGTGTTTCTGGCATTCGAAAACATTAGCAGACCACTTTTCTCTGCGTCTCTTGGGTCTGTTAATGTTCTTGACACATGTCAACATTAGCAGACCCATGAGACGCAGAGAAAAATGGGTCTGCTGGTGTTAAGACGTGCAACTTGGAAAACGAGACACAGAGAAAAGTGGTCTGCTAATTAATTAGCAGACCAACAAGACGCAGAGAAGCAAAGAAGATTTTTTTTTTCAGAAAGTCAGCGAACGATATCGTGTCGAATTGGGACCTAGCAAAGATGGCTCGAAGCTGGAAGTCAAAACCTCCGATCCGAAAATCGCAAAAGTCACACAAGACGCTCTCCAGGAGGTGCCATCGATGCTCGCCGAGCACGGACTCCAGGCCGCCCGTATTCAAAATCTCAAAATGTGTACAGTTCCAATTTGGATTTTCTCCTCGTTTGCTCTTCGAAACGTCATCAATTCTGATTTCCATCCATCTGTAGCTGGTGCTCTTTGGATTCCCGATATGTTGGCTCCGGATCCGTATTTTGTGTTGCCGGTCGCTGTCGGGGTGTTCGGATTTTTGAATTTATATGTAATTTACTTTTTTCGGGATGAAAAAATAATCTAGCTTTGTGTTTTCAGTCCCAACGAAAAATCTATCCAGGAGTGATCAAAACCACCATGAAGCAGAAGTCATACGACGCGGTTTTGGCCTTTTTCACAATGTTTGCAGTCACAATTATGGCTCAACTTCCCGCGGTAATTTGAAAATTTCAATTTCGCCGAAACTTCGTTGGGGCTACAGTAGGATAACAATCAAACATTTTCGAAATCCTTAATCATCCATTCCCATTGCTTCTGAGGTTTTTTCTCGAATATAGTCAAGAATTGGAACTTCTTGTGGGTACTGTCGTCGGAGGTTCTGAATAGCTTGTAGTTCCTGAGTACACGTTTGAATGTCATTTTGGAGAATCG